AAATTATGTCTGCTCTGGTAGGAGAATAATATATGAATATAATTGTATATTACCATTAAAAACGGTTTTTCCATTGATTTCCTTTTATCCCGCTAAGCATTAGGCGACACGTGTACGATTCATGTTAAAAAGTTCATTACGTTCCTCAATTAAAATCAATTCCGAATGCAATTACTGTCCAAACGGCAATTAAACGAACGATGCCGCATAATGGCGCGTTGTCCACCGAGAAACCGAGATAATGCTAGAAAAACGTTGAAGTCGACGCGAACAGGAAGTTGGCGCAGCCTGTGTGCACACATCCACGTTGACAACGCATTGCGTAACCCGAAGTGCATTGCTGCAGTTCCAACGTTCCGCCGACTATGTTTTTTCCCCCGAAATTTACAGCATCCGCTGAGAAAGGCACCATCCGTACGTACGTAAGTACCAACCTTTGTGCCCAGTTTTGTATCAGACGCAAAGGTGAACGAGAATACAACAGAATAAACAATCGCATTTGCACTGCAGCATACTTGAAGGAACAACTTTCACGAATTTCGCAATTTCAAGTGTACGTTGCCATTAAAGATTTAAATCTTAACGTCGGTACACGCATTACTGATCGAGTAATTTCTCGAGCATCATCCAGACAGGCATAATGAAGAATGAAGAATAATTATAAATAAGTTTATAATACATATATACATTTATATATAAGAAAGAAATATTAAAAGTAAACAAACGAAATTCTAATTCTTAAAATGGTAACACCGAGTACGATAACACGATGTACGATATCCGTAGAATATTTTTAATAAAACAAGTAGACAGAGGTATGTCGATTTAAACCCGATAAGAATTATCAAGCGACAGCGCAAACATTCCTCGCATTCAGAAACATTTCTGTCGGCTCGCGCCCGAGGAATCGCCGTCGGGATCGAGCTGTTTGGACGTTTTCATTGATCGCGCTTCGGATCGTCTTATCGTCGCTGGGTTGTCAGCCGATAACGAGTTTCTGTGAGTCCTCGGCTGCACCGAGATGATTCATAGCCGAAGTCACGGCGTTTTTAGGAAATCGATTTACGCTTCGGCGAACATAAATATTTCGAGTTCCGAGAAAATTCGGGACGTTATCTGCAGTCGCGACGGATCGACTTTGAACCACTGTCGTTCCGATTCTTCCCTGGCTTCCGGAAAATTGAGATCGACAAGAACTGTGGTCAAGTTCATGGTCACATTGGTATCTTTAACTTTCATATTTTTATCACTCTGAAAATCCAATGGTTATTTGCGACGTTTTCTTTAGAAATCTGTAGCAAGTTTTGTATTATATTTAATTTAAAATAAAAGTAAATATTGTGTAAAGAATTATGCGTTAAATCTGTTTTAACAGTCAAGTATCTATTTAACAACAGAACTACCGAGCGTTTAATATGATTAATATTCCTATAAAAATTGTAACAATAGATTATTTTCAGTTTCTTCGGACATTCATTATAGTACTCAAATGAAACTATTTATTTTCAAAATCATTTCGAAAACATCAATCATTGTTAAACAAAAAAATCGAAGCCAGTCATTTTGATTGGTACGTAGTTCTAGTGTTAATAATGATTAAAGATAATGAAATATTTAATAATTCTTTTATTTAAACGTAGGAGGGCCAGTCTGTCCGAAACGAATTTTCATTTTATTCTTATTAAATTAGACTTGAAGTGGTTTTATAAAAGACGACGTATTCGCGTTTCCACGAGAGACGCTTTAATTATCTTATTGAAATATTAATGAATAAACAGAACATTTTCTGTGGACCCTACGGCGGCCGAGTGTCATCAAATTAAATGATTACTCCCGAGAGTCTCGGGTTCTCAATGTTGGTTCTCGTTAGGGGAGAGTTAAGTACGTACAACGGTTAATTACCAAGTTTCTAATTACATTATCACTGTTTACAAACTAACTGAATACCATAAATCATAATATCCTCGAGTGAAATGTACGGGACGGGATACGATATTTTCGGATTTCATTGATCGCAGCGCGTCGGAACAGCTTCGAGAGCGTCGATCCTCGAGATCTACGGATCAACGCTGTCGGTAAAACAGGAGATTATGGTCGCAGATGGCAGCACGAGTCAAGGATACCGTAGACTGGCTGTTCGAAACAATTATCCACGGGAACAGAAATTCTGAAGCAGTTTCTCGTGGAACTTCGAATGAAATCCAGCGAACATCGAATTTCAAAATGACTTTAGTTGGACAATCCGAATTAATTTTCATGATTCCTATCTACGGCTGAACTTGGACGATAACAAATTCTGAAGGCATGACACAAATTCCCCTGAAAATTCTTAATTAAAGTTTGAACAAGATTAATGAACCGTTCGTGTTATTGTTCCATTTTAAAAGAAACATTGTTTCTTATTCGTATATAACGATAATCGTGCTCTCCACTCTGAAAATTCTGTGAAATTTATGGTATTTTTGGAATTTACGGAAGATGTAAATTGAGAACGAAACGGACGCCACTGTTGCCTGCGAACGAGATTATTTTCCAATTAATTTTGATTGTCATATTCCCTTCGAAACGCGTCGTTCGAATGTAAATGACGTTGCGCGTCGCAGTCGCTTTGTTTTCTAAATTAATTAATATAGAAAAGAACAGTGTTAAATTACATTTTTCGCGCGGCGAGACGAGCATAGGAGGCAACGCTGGCGTTATTCAGAAAATATTAATTTGCTTTGTCAACTTCAATGCAGAACGGCAGAAAGTTTTCTACGGAATTTCTGTCAGCCTTTGTCGCTCCTCGACCTATTTTCCAGCCGTGAAACGAACCGGTACAATTTTTCCTCCACCGTACTCTGTTTAACTGATTTCTCATGCCGTCTAATCATAAGAGTCCATTGTCTCTGATAACCTAAATCATCTCAAGGTTCAGTGGAATCGGTCTCCAATTAAATCTTAACCTTTCGTAGACCGGTTCAAAGTGCGCGTCACTTATAAAATAAATAGAAACGAATTTATCTTGAATTAATTGATCATTTATCTCAATAAATTGCGTTTTCCAAGTTACGCTTAACTAATATTCACACGAAACTGCCATTTCATGGCAGAAACTATTTCATTTAAAATCACAATACTTTATATTAAATATATAATTCACAATAACCCTAACAATATGTATTCCACACTTCATTCAACTAATATTCACCCAACATTTCAATTTCAACAAATAAATTCGCCATTGTGTCAATTAATTAATGATCAACCCTCTATGGGCCAAATTTTTGTTCATGATTATAACGAAATCTATGCAGTACAAAATTAATAAATACCCAATAGTTTCAATAATTTCATCAAACGAGTACATTTTGTATAAAAGTTTAAGTTAACTGATTACTTAATTTTATTCACCACTTCGAGTGCAAAATGAAATAAATCAACAAGATGCCAATATACTGATACGTGAGTTTAAAGTTGCATGGGCCTACAGAGGGTTAACTAACCGATCGACCGCTCAACGAAGTCGAAAATTAACACTAGAACTACCGAGCATTTAATACGATTAATATGTAATCCGCATAAGAATTCAACAATAGATTATTTTCAATTTCTTCAGACATTCGTTACAGTGTTCAAGTGAAACTATTTATTTTCAGGATCGTTTCAAATATTCAATGCTTCTAACCCTTTTCGGACGAAGGTTCTCTGAAATATACAAAATCCTCAACAGATGAAGCTAAATTACATACCAATTACTTGAACAATAGAAAAATAGGAAACTACGTGCTGATCTCTTGCTATTCGAGTAATTAGATCATCTGTTTCCTGCTTAGTCTTCCGTATATGAAAATTTCATCTTGTCGAAATGACATCCGTCCGCAACGGGTTAAGATATCAATAATAGCGAAACACAGAAATCGAAACCTGTAATTTTGACTGGTAGTTCTAGCGTTGAATTTAAAGGAACACGATTAAGCGTATTATCCGTGAATGATTTCCGCGCAGAAAATTCTGTAGATTCTATTTCAATTTTTACCGAGCATTCGAAAATAGCCGGTGATCGCGAAGTAGACACAGCGGATCGGGAAGTGCAGCGATGCAGTCTCGAAAACTCGACGCGAACATAACAGGAGAGGAACTATTGATTAACTGTCTAGCAGGCTGCGTCTCCAGTCTGGACAGCATTGTCTTTCATTACGCGATATCGCTACTATATCCGGAATAGTTCGCGAGCGTGGCTGCGACGAGTCACACGAAAGGATGCCTGCAGTGCGTGCGCCAAATGAGTGTAGGACCAACCAGCCGGAAAAAGAGAAATTCGCGTTTGTTCGGTTGCATAAATTTTTCTGATTTGCTTCACGTGCTTCAGCCGCGCACAAATAATCCCATACGTTTCGGTAAATAACCCGCCCAGAAACCGGACAGCGAAATTATTAAAATCCCGACGTGAAATATTTTCGTTCAAATTCATGCTCCGAACTCCGGCTGTCCATGATTTCACCGAAATTTCCTGTTCTCGCGGAAAATATATACTTCCTTCAATTTCTGGGGATTTAAAAACATTTGTGAAACCTACGGATTACTTATTGAATATTATAATACTCCTCACTTTTTTTTAGTAATATTTATGATCCTTGTTCCGTCTTATTAGAAAGTTAAATTTTGAAATTTTCAAGTGAGTATTGTGTTTGGCTTTTACTCTTAACCCTAATCGGACCACGATGTGACTTTGAGTCACATTTTTACTTAAATTTGAGAGTTATTTCATATTGCATCTCCGAAAGACTTTTTGGGCTAAAATTTGGGCCCTGTAAACAGGAATAATAACATCTTAATCGTTCCTTTTATTCTCGTAAGTGACTGAGACGTGGTACGATTCGTTATAAAAACACGTGGTACGATTAGGGTTAACACGGTTCACTAGTGATTCAGTATATTTTCTTTGTATTCATTAATACGTAAAACTAGATTTATTTCCGTTTTTGTATTGCATCGTGGGAAATGTAAAAGGTACTTACGACAATCATCTCAGAGGGCTCGAGAACGAAACATTCATTAGGTCTCCTGGCACTGCCACCCGTCCGCTTTCCGAAGCTGCAACAGAAAACGTCCAAAAGTTTGTTAAAACCGATTCCGGCTTCACGTCGTTCAACGACAAAGAGAACTGCGCGGGGTTCAGGATGAAATAATTAAATATTTTTCTGTGATCTTCCCGCTGAACAATTACAATTCACTCGTCTGAAAATGTCACGTTTAATGCAGTAGTAATTAAAGATTTGTATTCATTAACAAGAAACGTAAACGGTTATCGCTCGTGTACACGATATTCTCATAACGTGAAAATTCCCCTCGCCCGCTTTTAAGGCAAACAATCAACAATCTTCCCTGTATTTTCCTCGAAGCAAATAACATTAGCTTTTACAATGCTGCACATTACCCAGGAGAATACATTAGTTCTGATTAATTTTTTAATTGCATTTCCTTGTACACTGTTTATCCTTCCCCCGTGTTTGCGTTGGCAATTTTATCGTCGTTTCGGTGTTTCGCCCGAATGAATCGCCGCAACGAATTCGCGGCTAGCAGAGTATTCCAAAATATGCATACTCTGAAATATACTTACAGTCTTATTATTCGATTATTCATTTGCGAGTACATCCGAGTATCCATGCTAAAATTTAGAATAATTCTACCTCTGCTTTATGTCCTAATTACCATTGTTCCCAAGAAGCTCCCTAAAATTCCAAGCCCTTGTTTCGCTCGAAGAACCACTAAACACGAACGGTTAACACGTGCATTGTACAACATTAAAACTAATCAACAATCGATACATTCGTCAAATTACCGATTACCATTCACCAATCGAAGTTACAACGACTGAAGTCTCAAAATAAAACACGTAACAAAAGAATATACTCCAGCGATCCACGACGAGATATCTCGTTTTCAGGCTTCTTCGACTCAATCGATGATTTAAGGAATTAAAAATGGATGTTCTTGTTACGTTACCAGAGTAACGAAGTCTCGCGTATTCTTCTAATAAATGGTTAGCGAAAACAAACGAATGCCGACATTTCGAGAGCGTAAAAGTCAGTCAGTCAATATGGCCATTACATCGGTAGCTCTGTGTCGATCGTGTAACGTACTTTATAAAGTGTTTTATTGTTGTACAGCATTTCGTTATTACAAAGTTCGCAGAAAGTCCATAAAAATATATAATAATATTTAACCTTTTGACTGCGGCGCGCTCTCGGAGGAAGCTATCAATACGGACGGCGCGTTATTTGCACGTCACTCGCTGCGACTGGTCGTCAACTGACTAGTGACCAGAAGAGTACTCGGAGATTTAATACCACTCTTAGGGTTCGAAAAAATAATTGCAAATAAATTAAAATATCCATTTTTTTATTCGTTTTAAGTAACTTTTCAAGCAACTTTAAATTATTTAATTAATTTGTACATTATTCTTTCAACGATAATAGGTGGTAATTGAATGTAAAGAAGAAAATCGAAAACTGATAATAAGGAACAAATTCATTTTGACAATTTTAACACGTTGAATGCCGAACGATTTAAATATCAAATATCAAATCATTCGATTGAATTGCATTATTACAACTGCATGTCCATCTAGCTGAACGTCACCGCAGTAGGTGGCATTATTTACAATATAGAAATATTTTCGAATAATCATCGTTTAATTGAGCGAACTAAAGTCGATTTGATTGGGGGTCACTCCCATGGCACTCAACGTGTTAACATAAAGTAAAAAAAATGCAGAGGGCGTAAATTTACGCCTTACGTACATATTGATGGATATGTGGGGACGTATATATACGTCTTTAGCAGTCAAAGGGTTAAGAACACCTTACGCGAATACAACACCAAACGCGAATTAAAAAAGTGCACACATGCATCGTACAAATTGTTTCCGGAGCGCCCAAAAATGTACGGGCCCTGGAAGCGCGTTGCGCGTGCAGAGCGCCGTGCGCAATGTGTTAATATAATTCAGCGGCGACAACGGCGCGAAATAAAACAGCGTCGAGAATTACACGAGCCGCCGCCGGTGCATGTGTATACACGCGCGCGCGCGCGCCCTTCGAGGGGCGGTTAAAAGCCATAACACCGGTAACAATAACGGCGAGAGGGCA